AAAAAACAAAAAACAAATAGAAATGAACAACAAATAAATAAATAAGAGGAAAGCCATCGAACTAAATTCGATGGAGTAAAATCTTGTTATTAGGGGTCGTCCATAAATTACGTCACACTCGTAGGGGGGAGGGGGTCCGTAATTTTTTGACGATGTGTGTGATGGGGGGGGGGGGGATTCAGATGGTGGGACGTCACATTTTTGCATTATCAAAAAGTAATGTTAGAAAACAAATTTTAGCTGTTGTTTCGCGTTTTAGAAAACTGTTTCAATAAATGGTGATAGGAGGTGGGGGGGGGGGGGGGGGGGAAGGTAAAAATCGTCAAAAAAGCGTGACGTCATTTATGGATGACCCCTTATGGTTTAGTTAGCTGTGCAAATATTCTCTTCACCCAACACCGTGGGCTGGGTCAGCCTTAGGATCAAACAAGAGTTTCAAACATCAGGTAAAAAAAAATCTAATTAGATTTATAGTTTATACCCCTGGGTTGTGTGGATAAAGAAACACAACAGGCGGAGATTAAAGACGTCAAGATACATAGCTCAAGGGGAGACAACAATGAAAAAGCAAAAAGTTAAAAATAACCATGTGAACAAAATCTGAAGTAATCTCCCCGTGCTTATTGGTTATTGGATTGCGTAGCGAGCCCAAACGCCATGTTTCCTAAAATGGTGTTGTTGAATTGATTGACATCTCGTTACAGCCAATCACAGATTCGCCTTTAAGATCACGTCACAAATTTGGCTACTTTTGGATATTCCAGAACTGTGCAGAAAGTCCAGAAAGGCTGGTTTTATAATAGCCGGAACAAAAATAACAATTTGTTTCTATAGTTACGCTGTTTGGGTTCATCCATAAATGACGTCACGCTTTTTTGACGATTTTTACCTGCTCCCCCTCCCCTTCGTCACACGTCGTCAAAAAAAGCCAGACCCCCCCCTAAAATGACGTCACACCTGTTGTATTTTTCTTAAAAGATCGATATTTTTCCAAAATCTTGTTTGAACTCTCTCAACATAGAATATTTTAATCAATTCCTATTACAATTTATTAAAACAGTTTTCTAAAACGCGAAGCAACAGCTAAAATTTGTTTTCTAACATAACTTTTTGTGAATGCAAAAATGTGACGTTCCACCATCTGAACCCCCCCCCCCCATCGTCTCAAAATTACGGACCCCCCTCCCCCCTACGAGTGTGAAGTCATCTATTGACGAGCCCTATTTGATATCTAATGTACCTAATAATATGTAATGTGTTTTAATAATGTGTGCCTGTTGATTAATCCAATACTTTAGTATTTATTTATAAGTCAGTTAATTATGCAGGGGTGTCTTTCTCTGGTTAGTACCATTGTTACGTTATGTATTGTGAATTATCGTTACGTCCCTTATTATTATGCATATTGTAGTTACTTCCCTTGTATACTCAATGTTTACCGTGTAGATGATGTCTATCCATGTGGTAATTGACTATACCCAGAGACACGACGTGTCGTATATGCTGACTATAATAATAAAGGACCAAGGTAACAGCAGAGAACTGTGTTTAAGTAATGTCACACCCATAAACACCTAATACGATTTAAATTTCCAGGATCAATTTGAGAAAAGACACTAAGCAGACATTTTTTAAAACTGTGGCATCGGTGTTTGTTGTCTTATTTATACAATCCAAGAACATATACTAGACATATAGGTAAAAGCAGACATATACTACATTACTTCAAGCAATTACTAAATGCAACAAAGAATAAATAATTATCAGGCTTCTAATTTCAAATTTATTCATTTCATTGTTTGTACCATTCCATTAAAACATATATATATATATATATATATATATATATATATATATATATATATATATATATTAGCAAACATCAATATTTATTTGCAATTGAAACATATTAAAGAAATTGTAGACCTAATAAGGAACATGTATGGACATCATTATATAAAAACTGTCAAAACTTAGATGTGACATGCACAAATTAAAAAGTTTCAAACTGATTCTAGGGCACCTTTTCATAAAGTCAATCATCATAAAATCAATCAACAGTACTAAACCAAATAATTATCTACAGATATTTAAAAAAAAGTATTTCAACAAGCGCAAAAATGATATCTAGGCAATCACAATGTAGGTCTAACTCTGATTATTTTATGAATTTAAACACAACAGCACATGCACAAAAAAAAAAATCTGATATAATGAAATAAAAAAGCCTATTTACATGAAAATAGCCTTGCTTTTACATGCAAATTAACTTTTCTGCATCCTCTGTAGTCAAATGTATATAGTCAGTTCTACAATAAACCTCGTATTAAAACATGTTCCAATATAGTTAAGTACCCTTTTGAACCTGACGGTCCTTCCAGTCCATGGGGCAAGATAAGTAACCCCGGCATATGGAGGGATAGTGTAGTCAGCATTATGCCCAACTGCCTTTACTTTCCCTAATGTGAGTCAGGTACCCATAAGAGCGGGGTGGGCTCAGAAGTTCTATCAACATGAACCTGGGATTCAAACTCGAACTTTAGTGTTAGCAGTCTCCAAACATGCAGTCACACATTTTACATATAGTTGTAAAAAATCCCGTAAAAAATCTTATGATTCTCAACCTCACCAATCATTAAAAATAATAATACAAATGGTTAAATTATCACAACAATAGAAATAACATGAAACAACTGTGTACATATTGCATCAAGATAAAAAAATCACAGGTATTAGATTGATCATATAATAATCACTGTGAACTTACTGTTTACCTGATTTATCTTAATCAAATCTTACGACAAACCGGTCGCACAAGCATTTACTTGCAGAATTGATAAGATTTTTTAAAAAATCCATAGCTGTCTGTAGTGTAAAACAGTTCAAATGATTGTCTGAAATACACAAACTTTTGTGTTAAAACAAAATATTATCAATTTGTTTGATAACAGCAACTTTATGAATTACTTGATGTTGATCTCCAGCAGGATAAATATTTCCCAACAAAAAACATTTTTATTTTCCTCTATTATTAATTTTGATTTGCAATGGTATAAAAGGGATTTCTTTTTTTTACCTTATAATTCCTATCGAGAATAGAAGAAAATAAATTTTTTTTCCCCCCTGGAAATGTTAAGGAAAGCTAAAGTGGTTGGGCATAGTGGTGACCACACTATCCCTTCATATAATGGGATCACTAAAACAGGTAAACTCTAGGCCTACTTCACATGCCCCATGTACCGTCATGTTCGGAAAGGTACAAAACTAAAAGTGAATTCACAAGTTTTTTATGTGTTTTGTTTTTCCTTTTGACCAATACTGTAAACATAAACTTTGTATATGGAGTGTGAATAAATGATAAAAAAGCCTAATAACTGGGATCTCAACACAGCAGATAAGTGAAACCAGTAACTGTAATCTCAGAACAGCTGATTGGTAACTTCAGTTATATGACAACGCCTCGACACTTATAAAAAAAACACAAAATATCAAAATGTCCCCATCTATTCTTGTTTCTTCTGCCATTTGTCACTTGAGATCTGATAGGGTAGACTGCTCTAACTGACCGATCTGTTTTCTCACGAGCTAAAGGTTTTAAAATAACTTTATCTTCAATTGTAAACAAAAACAAAAAAAGAAGTAAACACAACAACATTTTTAACAGTAATTTACAGACAACACATTGAAAATAATAACTGCAGGTGGGCCTACAACACTTCATTAATTTTTTATTTTTTTTTGCAGCCTTCTCTTTTCTCATATCTGCACGTCTTTTCTTCTCATTTAACTTGCTTTCCTTTTCCTCGGCTTGCTTTTGCTTCATTCCAATTACCTCATCACTAGTCAACAACTTATGTATTGTTATTGTGCTGAGCTTTTTTTTTTCCGCCGTTGGCAAGACTGGTTTATCAAAAACACTTGATAATTCCGCCAACCATCTCTCATTTGTTTCCAGCACAGTTTCCACCATTCTGTTTTCACTTCCACTTGCAGCTAGGTCAACGGCTTCCTCTTCGATGCCACTTATGTCCATGGCAAGCTTTAAGATGTCCGAAAAGTTTTCGCTAGCACCCGTAGCACGTATTTCGCCTATACTTTCATTTTGGTATTCAGGAGGTGACCACCATGGGTCAGTGTTGAGGACATCCGCGTCGATCACTGTTTCAGGAGCAGAGGGAGCATATGCTTGCTCGAACATGGCCATATCTTGAGAGACAGAAGCAATTGGTTGAACTTGATTGCTTGCCACTTGTGTTGGAGGTGCTTGCTAGTCATATACTCACTTGGCAATGTGTCACTTCTTGTGAGAACCGTGGAACAAACGGATAGATTCGGGTAGCCTGAAAAGCTTTTTTGATTGTGCTTGGGCAAAAGGCTTGGCTCCATGCTGCAGTGAAAAGTTTAGTCCATGTGACTTTACTGATCACATTTGCCAGGTGCTCTGAAAGAAATTCAGTGCATGCTGCCACATAATATTTTTTAAACGGCCCAAAGACACATTTGTCTAGCGGCTGCAGCTTGTGTGTCGTATGGGGTGGTAAGGCAAATGTGTGGATATTTTCTTTCCTTGCTGTTTCCAGCAGATCCACAACCTCATGGGAGCTTTGTGAATCTAACAGGAGAAGCTGGGGGCAATCTTCGCCAAAATGTTTTAGATAAACTTGTTTGAACCATTGGACTCTCAAAAAATCTTCCATCCACCCAGACTTCTGATAAGTCTACACAGCGCCCTTTGGAGCATCGGTCACGTTGAAGGACGATACCACTCTCTGGGTTTTCTCCTTCACGATAATCATCGGGGGCATTGCCTCACCAGTGGCATTGACCGTGGCAAATACTGTGCTATTGTCACGAGACCCGTCACACGTGCTGACACCCCTCTTACACCTTTCTGGGCAACTACTTTTGTTGGCTTGTGCTGTAGCTGAATCCCAGTTTCGTCACAATTCCAAATGCGGTGAGGCTGCGACATAAGGTGGGATTCAGCCAACAGTTTCTCCAGGTCATCAAAGTAGTTCTTAGCAACATTGCTGTTTAGCATTGTCGTTCTACACTGAGGTACAGCTTCAGGGTTTCGGATGGTCAGTTCGGGGTGCCGTACTTTCATTTTACTCCAATACCCTTCTCCAGGAATCCCATTTTTGAATCGTGTCTGGATTTCCAGACGCTTAGCAATATTTCCTATCATTGCTAGAAGGCTGCGTTTTGTATAAGGAAACCCCGCCTTCGATGCCTCCAGGACCCTCAAGACAATTTCATTTTCTAAAGCTGGATGGCTCCCACAGCTTCGGCCTGGCTTAGACCCTTCTTTTATGCGGCCTTTTACGTGGTCAATTATAGTTGTTTTGGGTAGCCCAAACTGTTAAGCTGCCTTTCCGTAGGACTTGCCCTTGTTAACAGCATCTACAGCTTGGCTAAGGCTTTCAGTCTCATATGTTGCATATGACCTTTTTTCCTTTAGGCCTTTGTGTCTGTTGATAAAACATATACAAGTCATTTGTTTTTAATTACATTTTTATAAAAAAAATAGCCTAATAGGCCTAGCCTAGTGGTCAAATTATTTATGCTACGCTAGGTGGACATTTGGATAGATCGGTCAAAGTTAGAACACCCCATTTTTTTACATGGTTCTAACTTCCACCGATATGTTTTTCACAATTATTTTTATTTTTAGAGCCCTAAATATAAATTAAAAAGTACATATATGTAGATTAACCTGTATTATAAACTCTTTTCATGTTTAAAAAAGTTTAAAACTATTTTTACTTACATGTTTGGCATTGTGAAGCACGGCAAGAAAACGTTGACAAAATGGAAATTCGATATTTTCACTCAAAAAACTCACTGACGCTAAGGGGCCTAAATTTGTGAGTAAAGAGAGCAAAAACGGCTAAAATAGACATGTCATAACAAAAGGGAAATCCCCCACAGTTTAATTGCGTAACATAATATATAAGTATTTTTTAGCCAATGGTATTTATTTATTTTTAAAAAAATTATTTTCTGCCCAAAGACGGAATTCGGTCGAAGTTAGAACCCGGTCAAAGATAGAGCAGTCTACCCTATCAGTTTATAACACACACCAAAACATTATCCAACAAAAGTAAAACAATCACATTTTTAACACCAGTTTCTTTCCTGTAGTAATCTAATTTGTGTATTACCTGAAGCTCTACTTCTTCAACTTGGGTAACGTATTCATCAGCTTACAAATTATGGACAGCATGACCTCATCAGCCCCACCTCCTATTGAAATAAGTCGCATGTCCCTGGAAGATGTTAAACAGTAAACAAAAATTGACAAAAAATATATGAACTAAGTTAATGTACTAAACAGTGTGGGGCTGAACAGACCAATTACTTAAGGCTAAAGAGATCTCAGCCAACAGAATCAAATGTTAAGTCCTCTTCTGATCATAACACAATAAATAAAATAAAACTAAGTCGATCTATATTCTACTGCTAATGTGAAAGCTTATAACTAGATATTTAATACTTTTTTAAAAACCAAGATAACCTGATCAAGGCATATTTACTAATTATTAGAAAATTGACGATAAACTGACCAGTACATATATACCAAATTAATAAAACCAAGGGCAGACTGACCGGTACATGTTTATCAATTATAGAAAACCAAGGGCAGACTGACCGGTACATATTTATCAATATAGAAAACCAAGGGTCAACTGACCGGTACATGCGGCTGATCATGACCTCCTCTGTGAAACCCATACCACCCCAGTACTGAAGGCACTTGTCTGACGCCTCACGCAGCAGACGTCCAGTTTTTAACTTGCACATTGAGGCCAGTTTTGTTACATCTTGACCCCTGGTGTACAAGGCTGTAGACAAATACAAAATATTTTGTAATGAAATTATCAGGATTGACAGTCTATGAAATCTTTAAAACACAAGATTTTAAAATATCAATTTATTTTTAAAAAAAAACCCCCAAAAATTTAAAGCAGACCAGACAATTAAATTTTTTTTTTATTATCAAAAACCTAGAGAGTTGAAAAATCAGTATAACAATCAGTCATTTAGTATTAAATTAATTAAATTAAATTTTTAAATTAATAAAATTCAGTATTTATGATTTTCTTATCATTTACTTGAACCTATTGATAAGATATAACTGTACTAAGGATTGAATACATTTATAATATAAAAACCATTTTTATTTATATGTACCAAATATATTAAAATTCTCCCATTAAGATTTTTATTTAAATTTAGAAAAGGCTAAAAATAAATTTATTTTCCTGACTGACCCGCGGCCCTGTAGGTGGCCGACCTCAACATCTCTATCTCAGTGGCCAACTCAGCCAGGGTGAAATGTACAACCTGGTTGTTGAGTACCGGCTGGCCAAAGATTTTCCTCTGTGACGTGTACTTTATGGTCTCCTCTATCATACTTTCTAGCGGCAAAAGTGCTGGGGACGTAGAAGAAAAAAAAACATCAGAGTGAAATGTGGTTTTTACATTTTGGTCATGGCATGAAATTACGTTAATATATTTTGGTTAAAGGAAAAAATTTGGTTCTTATATTTTAGTTACAACATAAAACTTGGTTATTACATTTTGGTTATCATGTTAAATTTGATAATTAGATTTTAGTTACAACATAATATTTGGTTATTACATTTTGGTTATCGTAAAATTTGGTAATTAGATTTTAGCTACAACATAAACTTTGGTAGTTACATTTTGGGTTACAACATGAGAAGTTGTTGTTCCAGTTTTTTAAACTTCAAACAAAGAAAAGTCAAAAGTTTTGTGTAAGATGGGATATTGAGTGTAAATAGCCTAATCAGATTTTAACTGAAAGTTTTTAAAAAAGAAAACAAGAATCTAAAAGCTCTCAAGACCTACCAACAGCTGCAGCAAACAACCGTTCTTCCTGAAACTGCAGCATCTGGTATATGAACCCTTGACCTTCCTCCCCAATGATAAATGAGCGAGGGACCTTGACATCTTCAAAGTACACCTGCACTGTGTCAGAGCTCCACATACCGAGCTTTTTAATCTCTTTACTTATTGTTACACCTGGTGGGATATACAAATACAAGCATACGAGCATGGTGCAATTTCATCTCTTTACTTATTACCTGGTGGATTTACAAATACAACAAGTTATTCATTGATGGCTATATAGCCTATATATATAATCTCTTTACTTATTGTCACACCTTGTGTGGTATAAACAGCAACAATTTATTTATTGATGGCTATTCTAGTCTGGTACAATTTAATCTCTTTACTTATTGTCACACCTAGTGGATATATAAATACAACAATTTATTTAATCTCTTTATTTATTGTTACACCTGGTGGGTATACAAATACAACAATTTATTTAATCTCTTTACTTATTGTTACACCTGGTGGGTATACAAATACAACAATTTATTTAATCTCTTTACTTATTGTTACACCTGGTGGGTATACAAATACAACAATTTATTTAATCTCTTTACTTATTGTTCAGAGTTTCTTCCAGGCAACTCTTCGAGGGGGGGGGGGGGGGGGCCTTTGGCCCCCCCCCCCCCCCCCTAACGAAATGAAATTTATATAATTTATATAGAAAATATATACTTTTAACAGTGTCTGCCCCCCCGAACAAAGTTTACCCCCCCCACCCCGAAGATTTCAAGTGCCCCCCCCCCCCCCGAGAAAAAAGTCTGGAAGAAACACTGTTATTGTTACACCTGGTGGGTATACAAATACAACAATTTATTTACTGATGGCTATATAGCCTGGTACAATTTCATCTCTTTACTCACTGCCACATGGGGTGGTTTATAAAAGTACAGTTTATTCACTGATGGTTATACTAGCCTAGTAACAACGTCTGATGTACAATTGAAACTCTTTACTTATTGTTACAACTGGTGGGGTGTAAAATTACAACAAATAATATATGGCCAATCTTGCTTAACAGCAAATTGTTATAGAGAAGTAGCCTACAATTTGTAAAAAGGTTTGTTAAAAAACAAAACAAAAAGTTTTTGACATGGAAAATAGCCTAATAGTTTTTATTAACGAGCTACTTATAGTGTTTTAAAGAAATATTTTCAGTGTCAGCGTTGGTACTGTCGAATTCACAAATTATGAATTATTGAAAATTAGAAACAACTAAATAGCGGCGTATGTTATGCCGCGGGCCGGCTCGTAAATCTTATAATACAGCTAATGAAGTATTTTTAAATTTTTTTTTGGAAATATACAAATTTAAGATTTAACCACACAATCTCTTAAGTTTATTTACTTTTCAAACAATCTAAAGCAAGCTGACCTGGAGTCTTCATGGGCAGACAGATGAGTGATTTGTTGGAGTGAGACTTGCCATCACTGGTGTTGGCCAGGCAGCACATCCAATCTGCCTGGGCACCGTTGGTGGTCCACATCTTGCCACCATTGATGATCAGATCATCTCCCACTCTGGAGGCTCTGGTTTGGATATCTTGAGAAATATTCGTAAAAAAACAAAACTTTATTGAAGAAGATATTGGGATATCTTGAGAAATGTTTGAAGAAAACAAAACTTTATTGAAGAAAATATTGGGATATCTTGAGAAATGTTTGAAGAAAACAAAACTTTATTGAAGAAAATATTGGGATATCTTGAGAAATGTTTGAAGAAAACAAAATTTTATTGAAGAAAATATTGGGATATCTTGAGAAATGTTTGAAGAAAACAAAATTTTATTGAAGAAAATATTGGGATATCTTGAAAAATGTTTGAAGAAAACAAAATTTTAGTGAAGAAAATATTGGGATATCTTGAGAAATGTTTGAAGAAAACAAAATTTTATTGAAGAAAATATTGGGATATCTTGAGAAATGTTTGAAGAAAACAAAATTTTATTGAAGAAAATATTTGGATATCTTGAGAAATTTTTGAAGAAAACAAAATTTTATTGAAGAAAATATTGGGATATCTTGAGAAATGTTTGAAGAAAACAAAATTTTATTGAAGAAAATATTTGGATATCTTGAGAAATGTTTGAAGAAAACAAAACTTTATTGAAGAAAATATTGGGATATTTTGAAAAATTACTGGAAAAAAACTAAACAAAGCTTTGTAAGCAAATTGGAAAAAAAATTATTGTTTACAATGAAAAGGTATTAAAAGGACATTAAAAAAAATTAACCACATATTTTTTCGCTGACAAAAAAGAAACAAGAACAACAAATACTAAAGAGTAACAAACATTTATAAAAAGTAAAATACATCAAATTAAAAAATGGATAGTTCAGAATAGCAAAAATAAAACCAGGAAAAATTAGAAATAAATAAAACACTAGAAATCTAGTTCCAAAAAAAACCTTTACATTCTGTTTTGTAACGATGCAATTACAAAATGATTCTGATCACAAAAAAGAGAGGAAAATAATATACTAGGGAAGGCAGTGATCAACGTGTCTAATAGCTAAACCAGAGGGTTAAGTCAAAGTTAATGGTGCTGTTAAAAATACTTAGCCCAGAATAATTAGCACAAGGGTAAAAAACAGTTTCTTTCTAGATGGCTCAGGAACACAGTGCTTTAAAAGTAAACCATTAGCCAACATGTTTCAAATACACTCGCTAGACACAATCTTAAATGTATGATTTCATAAGGTATGCCAAAGTTCAAATCAGGAGTAAATATTAGCAAAAGAAATTAAGTGGATAGGTCTGATTAAGAAAATCCAATTAAACAACACTAACAGGCTAGAATAATGGAATAGAATCCACAAGGAAAAACAGAAAGGTAAAAATGTTTTTAGAAGTAGATTGGAGCACCAGACTGAATTTACTGTGGTCAAGAAAAGTAAATTTATACATTTGGCTTTGCCTTATTCTACTTCGGTAATCAAAAGTAATAAAAAGATACGGGGTGGGGACTATGCCAAAGCAGGAATAAAATCACAACGGAAACTTACTAGCAACATCAGAAACTGCACCCCCTGATTCTACTTCGGTAATCAAAAGTAATAAAAAGAAAGAAAAAGATGTGATTATATGCAGGACATAATTTAAAAGCCAGGGGGGGACTAAGCCGAAGAAGGAATAAAAACACAACAGAAACTTACTAGCAACATCAGAACCTGCACCCACCTCGCTAACACCAAGACAGGCCACATAGTCTCCAGCAATTGTTGGCACCAGAAATTCTTTTTTTAAAAAGTCACTGCCAAACCTGAAAGTGTCATTCATAAAGCGTTTATAAAAAATGTTTTTAAATAGTTCTAGAAAATTCACAACAAAGTGCAAGCTAAGCATACAACATGAATAGTAGGAGAAAAAATACTAAACAGTATACTACAAATATACTGTTATTTGCAAAAAAATTACTTAAATCCTTCCAGCTTTTAGTCAACCCTTCCAAACTGTTGGAATGCTGTGACTAGCAATGACAAGTGTTTATTGCTTTTCTGAGTTTTACATACTATTGTAGGTCACGTTATTGCTGGTAGTCTGTTATGTCATTAATATGTTTTTTTGTTTACACATTTTTTTAATAGTTCACACATTAACTCACTTAATTTTCATCGAAGAATATTCTGCGAATGTGTCAAAAAATTACATCAGTAAAAAATAAATAAATATTATAATGTAAACAAAATATAATTTTCGGGTAGATATTTAAACAAAAATTAAATAATGCATACCTGGCTAAGGCAGGTGTGGCCATGTCTGTTTGTACACCAATGGCCATAGGGATAGAACCACATTTAATGTTGCCAAGCTCCTCAGCCACCGCCACACTGTAACTGTAGTCAAGTTCAAGGCCACCATATGCTGTATGAATGAACATGTATGACAATTTATTTTCTGAAGAAAATCACAAATATATATATTTTTTTAAATTATAAAATCAATAGACAAGGTCAGAAAAGAGCAAGTCAGTGATCAGTTGGGGGGTCGGAGTGGTCGGGTTGTTAGAGCTGAACTGAAAAATCCTGAGTTTGAATCTCCCTTGGCAGATAAGGCTCAATAGCTGGGGGACAGCTATTAATTTAGGAGAGAAAACCTCAAAATCAAACAACTGTTTCCTTGTTGTTTGCTCTTCGATGGATAAAGGCTATAAGCAAATCCAAACAGAAAGCAGAGTCAATGGTCTATAAGGTGCATTAAGGTTTGACATGTAATACTTAATTGTACTGGAGGAAATCAACATTATAATTTAGAATGAAGAAGTATCAGTTATTCGTTGACATTAAATTTGCTAGCATGATATGATATGGTACATTAAAAAAAGTGGTCTAAAAATTGAGTACCCTGAAAAGTGAAATTGAAAATTAAGAAAACTGGAATCTTTTGAAAAACACTAGTGAAGAACCTAATGAGTAGAATAATGCATTTTTTTTCTTCAACTTCCATTTATTTCTGTATTAACAGATATTATTTTAAAACTTTCTAAACAATATTTTGTAACTTTTTGAAATATAGTCATTGACCAGATAGATTTCAAATAATAATAAATTATATACATAAATTAATTATAAATAATTTATTTTTTAATTATTATGATCTATTTGTTTATTATTTATAATTACAATTTATAATAAAATAAAAAATTATGTTTATCAAAAAAGAATAACGAAACTTATCGTTAAAAAAACATGGTAAAAATATGATTTTTTTGTTCCAAGCATTGTAATTATTCTTTAGCTAATGAATAATTACAAGTTTTGTTACTTTTTTTTAGACAAAAGACTTTCGGGTTACTTAAAGAACAGAGTCAAAACTGCTAGAAAGGACTTTATTACCTTTAGGTTTGGAAACACCCAGGAAACCATTGTCCCCAAGGATTTTGAAAACTTTGTGAGCAGGAAATCTTCTGTTTGCTTCCCATTCATCAACATATGGATTGATCTCCTTATCAATTATCTGGAAAAAAGTTACAATAGTGACAAAAAGCTTCATAGTAGATATACCTTATAGGCCTATTTAAAAAAAAAATGATAAAAAATACAGGATACCCCAGTACGGCATATGGGAAGGAGTGGTCTAGCGGTAGAGAGCTGGACTGCTAACCCGTAAGTCTCGAGTTCGAATCCGGGTTCAAGACAGTAGAACTCTGATGGGTACCTAACTTCAAGTAAAGGAGGCTGGGCAAAGTGCTGACCATACTATCTCTTCATATGGCGAGGTCACAGAAACAAGTGAACTCTAATTCACTTGCCCCATAGACCATCAGGTTTGAAAGGGAAACAGCTGAGAGACAGGGTAGTCTGTTGACTAATGATTTAGTATAATACAGTATATTATAACATTAATTCATTAATACTATATATATTAGTAGATTCTAATTACTAATTAGTAAAGTTAGACTCTAGAGTCTAGATTCTAGTAGTCTAGTCTAGATCTAGAAATACTTAGTTAGATACTTCATTGCGTTTTGTTGGGTAATCGTTAGAGTCTAGATACAGATCTAGAGTATACTAAATCTATTTAATAAATAGATCTAGAGTCTAGTACAAGTAGACTTCGATTTATGGACCCGATTTATTTATTGTGAATGAATGTTGAGTTGAACTTTGAACTGAGTCTTCACATCACTGGCGGCTGAGGACGAATCACTGACACTGTCTGTCTACTCTAGTTTGTGTGATTATAAATTCTATATTTACCTTCCTAAGAGTAGAACGCAATTCCCAATGTTCTGGCCCAAAAATTATGTCATCTTTTTCATCTTTAACTTGAAGTAATGCTCGGCTACTGGAAAAACATCTCCGTATAAACAACACTTTGCTTGGATTGGAAACAAGTCTAGCAGCCATTTTCGTTTCTTGCATTTTATAAGTAGAGTTTTTAAAAAACCCCAAATAATAAAGGCCTAGGCCTAGTTTACAAAAACTAGACTATAGTCTATAGTAGACTAGTATAGATCTACAAATAATATCTTAAGGATAGACACCACGGATATAATTTTTCTTTAATTTAACATGTTTCAATGTGTTTAATAGATTTATATGTTACTAGTCTAGTTGTTAACCTATAGAAAAAATATATATAGCCGCCAATAGCAGTACAGGGTTGCCATGGAACCCATGAAAAGGTGTAAAAACTAACACCTTTTCAAACCTCTATAACTTGGTTCCCAAAAGAGATTTAAAAATATGATGACATATTTAGATTTCTCAAATCAAACTAGATCTATATATTTCTACGTTTATCCATTGCGATCGCTCATATTCAATTTTTTACGTAAAACTATGTACAAAAATTAGGGGGTGGTGCTACATAAATATCAAAATTTCCTGAAGTATTGCAGTAAACTTGATGTACAAACGTAGTATTGTAGATAGTATAATGCTAAATATATGTAGAAAGTTTCTGTCTTTTAAGACAAAGGGTCCAAAGGCCTTACCGATTTGAATGTTGAATTTTGAGTAAAAATGCAAAGTTGAGAAAACGTGAAAAGAAGGATTTAAAAGGGCACTGTTGTTTCCTCCTATAGAAAACAGAAAAAAACGTATTGTTATGTGTGGAAGAACCATTTGACTAATAAAATACGTGTTGACTTATGTCGTAAGTTTAAGACGGATTTTTCTATGTAAGCAGAAAATATGTTCCGTCTGCTTGCCTTGCCTTTTCACTTCAATACATTGTTTATCCCTAATTAAATTGTAGCTTACACAAGTTTATTGCCTGATAATAGTTAGCCTACTACTCAATCCTGGGTATAGCGATTGAGGCTTGACACGCACGCCATCCCAGTCCTCCCATCCCATCGCTGAATAGTGCGTGAAGGTCCGACGAGCCATAGATTAACAATGTTCATTCAACCGTAAATAACACATCCGTGTAGATGGAGTCAAGCACTGTTTCCGTACAAGGCCTAAGTATTGTTATCCGGTTATGCTGAGCATATTTGAACTACTCTTTTGCCCTGTAATCAACGAGAAAAACAAAACGTTTTACTACGAGGGGACACGCAATAGAAATCCCGTAAACATCCTGATCAGGTGATCAGCAGCCACGCAAATAAAGGTCCATTTTTAGTAGCCATCATCATCAGCATCATCAGCATCATCCCCGTGAAGCATAAGGACCCAACCACACCTCTCCAATATACTCTCAGTGTTTCTTTCAGACTTTTACTCCGGGGACTGGGGGGGGGGAAGGGAGGGGGGCACTTGAAATTTTCGGGAGGAGGGGGGGGGGGGGGCGGCAGACTTTTTTTTCGGCCTCCCCCGAAAATTTCAGATGCCCCCCCCCCCCCCGAAGAGATGCCTGGAAGAAACTCTGCGGCTGTTTCTATTTACTGACTGCTGACCTTTTCCAAGTTTTATTTGGCCTACCTACTTTCGTCTCTCCGAGGGGAGCAGTTGATATTTTCGGGGGGGGGGGGGGGGGGGGCGGACTAAATTTTCCGGGGGGGGGGGGCGGACTAAATTTTCCGGGAGGGGCGGACACTGTTAAATATATATATATATTCTATATATATTCCATTCCGTTGGTGGGGGGGGGGGGGCGGTAGACTTTCTTCGAAGAGATGCCTGGAATAAACGTCGTTACCTTGGGGATTCCAATCTAGTGCCGGTCTGGTGATGTTGCTAGTTGGTATATCCACGGGATGTCCAATCCACCCTCCTGTGCGCTTTTGTTTTTTTCTTTTGACCATATGGTCTTGTCCAGCTTTCTCTCCACAGTTCGGCATTGTTTATTTTTTTCAGACCACATGATGGTCAATAGGCATCGGGTGCATCCGTTATTTAAAGTCTGGTGTGTTGTTATTAACAGTAGCCACACAGACAAGTAAAGGGGAGTAAGAAAAATAGGATGTTAAAAAAGTTGATAACGTCACTAAACAGGCGCTAGATTCGAGATTAATGGGTTATACTAATTTATTTACTAATGCATTTTAATTTTGTCATATTTCGTGGAATTACGTTTTATTATGCTACAGTGTACATGTAGTCACTCTTTGTTAATGTCTATAAATGCTCGATTTTATAAAACAAAAAAACACCCTTGCGCACTTTTTTTGTGTGCGCAGTTTTCCCTTTGCGCAGGTTTTCGTTGCGCATCTTTCCTACCACCCTTCTACATTACATACAGCGGCAAATACTTTAGCCACAATGATATTGCGAAAATTGACAAAATTATTGACGTTTAGGTCAAGTTTAAAAAGTCGCTGGAGATATTTCAAAAAGTGACATGAATATTGACTTTTAGGTCAAATTTAAAAAGCCACAATCATGTTGAGGTGTTGCTTATCACTTCGCGTGCTTTCATCTTGCTAGCTGGGGCCCTTCATGTGTGTATGCAGAGTTTCTTCCAGGCATCTCTTCGGGGGTGGCGAAGCCCCCCCGAAAATTTTTTACCGCCCCCCCCCCCCCCCCGAACGAAATGAAATTGATATAATTTATATAGAAAATATATACTTTTAACAGTGTCCGCCCCCCCGAAGAAAGTTTACCGCCCCCCCCCCCCCGAAGATTTCAAGTGCGCCCCCCCCCCCCCCCGGAGAAAAAAGTCTGGAAGAAACACTGTGTGTATGTGTGTGTAATGTGTAGCCGAAAATACTCACGTCGACTAATAGGCGTACTAAAACGTTAGCACATAAGCCTATACGTTTATCGATATTTAAGAGTTGATAGTTAGCACACATTGGAGGAAAAACTAGAAAGAATGATGACTTTAGAGATATAGTGTATTGCAAAAGCTTGTAGATTTTTGTTTTGCAATTTTTAATTTAAGTATTATTTACTCAACCATCAGTTAGTTACTCATAAAGGTTTTATTGTTATTAGTTATGTTTGTATGTGTTTCTATTAAATAATTTTTGTTACAAATAGTTTTATTGTAAATAAATAGTAATTGTCTATTATAATGTTTGGGGTATAGTATTTTATTTAAGTAACCTTTTTTTTTATTTAGAAAAATATATCTTGGCTGGCTAAAAATTACACCATATGTATAAGACGCAAATTAATAGGCTAGATAATAGTTTAGATAAAACAGGGATAATGTTTCATTTTTTATATAAAGGTTGAATCATCATCTTTTCCCGTTCGTGCACAAGACACATGTGGAAGATAAAGTAGAGTTTATCGGCTTCAGAAACTTCGGCATTTGAAGAGATAGTGTGGTCAGCACTATGCCAAGCCGCCTTCTGTTTTCCCCTAACGTGAGTTAGGTACCCATCAACTCAGGGACATTATACCGACATGAACTCGAGACTTTCTGGTTAGCTGTCTATCTCTCCACTGCCAGGTCACGCCGTTCCATATAGAGGGGATCTTTAGTGTGTGGGGATATGGGCTACACCAGGGGAATATGATCGTTTTTGGGATAGGTAGAGCGGCGAGGGCATAAAAAGGCACCAGCTTATCCTTCTCAATAATATATATATATATATATATATATATATATATATATATATATATATATATATATATATATCTATATCTATATCTATATCTATATCTATCTATCTATCTATATATATATATATATATATATATATATATATATATATATATATATATATATATATATATATTATATATACATATATATATGCGTGTATTTGTGCGTGTTTAATAATTAATGTACTGCTATCCTGTGCTTACTCACACTTTTGACGTACATTATTGTTAATAGAATTTTATTATCACTAGTTTGAGGTGTAAAGAAAGTCGACGACTTTTGTGACACTCACCATACTTATCGCTCATACCGTATAAAGTGTCAGCCAAGTCGTAAATAGGGGGATTTATTGACCTAACGTTTAGTAACGTGAGCACAACCGCCTACCACAAGATGGACGCCATCATTAACCAAACAATTAGTACAGACACCGACCACAAGATGGACGCCATCATTAACCAACAATTAGTACAGACACCGACCACAAGATGGACGCCATCATTAACCAAACAATTAGTACAGACACCGACCACAAGATGGACGCCATCATTAACCAAACAATTAGTACAGACACCGACCACAAGATGGACGCCATCATTAACCAACAATTAGTACAGACACCGACCACATCATCGACGCATCCATCTTACCGTCACTATTTTAATTATTCTTCAAAATTGCTCTTGTTTGTTTTACTTCATTATTATTTTATTTTTCGAAAAAAAAAGGACGCCCCTCTCCATACAAAAATGCAACTCCTGCGTACGCCCAAGGCAAACACGTAGTTGGATTTTATTCACAGTTGTACATTCCATTTCATTTTCCTTTTTTTTTAAAAATAAATATCGTTACTAACTCTATTTTAAACGAATTAAAATTAATGTAAACAAAAACGATTCATCTTTCTTTTATTATAATTTTCCCATTATATTTTGTTATTTCTTATGTGTATAGGCTACTAAACACATCTTATGTGTATACTAAACACGTCTTAGTTGTATACTAAACACTATAGAGCATTGCTGTCTGTGCGCCGATGTAAAATTTCGATTTTATAGATGATGAACACTTCTAATTTTTTTTCTCACCTCAAAATTTTGATTGGCTGTCGCGCATCATGTGACGTATTGAGCCTACTTCAGACAGCATTAGAATATCCACACAATCCAACATCATTGAGCTTGAACCTGTTTTCAGACTTTACATTGGTGACTATTTTGTTTTTAATTTCGATATATGCTGTATTAATCTACGACCTCGATGGTGTTTTTTTATATTTACGAAATTAGTTTTTAAAAGGTTTTTCTAATTGAGCTTAATTAGCATATTTTTACTGTATAATATTTTGTCTGTACTGTATTTTTGATAGAAGTATAAAGTGACCAAGATTGCCAAAAAATGGAGATAGAACAAAAAGTCATCTCAATCGTATTACTCATCTACGTATTGGTTGCAATGGGTCAGTAAAAATGCGGTTGTTGGCGAAAAATAAAACTAAAACTATATATATATATATATATATATATATATATATATATATATATATATATATATATATATATATATATATATATATATATATATATATATATATATACATATATATATGTATGTATATATATATATATATAATATATATATATATATATATGTATATATATATATATATATATATATATATATATATATATATATATATATATATATATATATATATATATATATATATATATATATATATATATATATATATATACGTCGTATATGTGCATATATAAAATCCTTATGTCTGTACAGTAAAATATATCAACATATTGATTCAGTTATCTCCATATTAAATGTTCACAGTTGCCTGTAGTTATAACATTGACCTACTACAACCAACTGGCAAAAAAATTGGAGGTAGGTCGTTGCTAAGGTGAATCGTTTGTTGAAGAAAACAAACAAAAACAAACGTCATTCTTTGGATTTAGCTTCTTGTTTGTTTGATGGCAACCACATAGGTTTCGTGTGGTGGTGGTGTTTGTGTGTGTGTGTGTGTGTGTTTGTGTGTGTGTGGGTATGGGGTGGGGGGGGCAGTAATATGGACAGAAACAAAGCAGCATATAAATAAAACCAAACACACCAGACATTTATAATGTAGTTTTATATTTTAACAAATGAAATATTAACCTTATTTGATCCATAAGTGAGTAAATATATCTTAAATAAACAGACAGTACGAAAAACAACTTGTTTATTAATACTAATAGTTTTGCTGTCCGTGTATCTATCTGACAAGAACGCTCTGTCTGTCTATCTGACAAGAACGCTCTAGAGAAAACACAAGCAAATTAAAAACCTGCATAGTAATTCGAAAAACGAAGTATGACGTCGACACATTTAGCATAGAGTTGAAAATAATCTCAAGGCGGAAAGTGCACACAATAATATAATGACGTCATTTATTATAGCGTAAACATTGAATAAAAAGGAAATGTTGTCTAATCTAAATGGTTTGCGTGAAGAGTTTCTTGCATACAGTTATTCGGGTAGGGGCGAAGCCCCACCCCCCGCGTAAGAACGTCTGAGCCCCCCCCCTCCCCAACTCAAAAGAAATTTCTTCATCGATACTCTATAATAAAATTACCGCCTAATTAATGTGTCTAATCTAAAAAGTGGTTTTCTCGCAATTTCTTTAATGCAATTCTTCGGGTAGTGGCTAAGCGCGACACCAGTGTTTCTTTCAGACTTTTTCCTTTCCGGAGAGGGGTGGGGGTACTTGAAATTTTCGGGGGCGGGGGTAGAATTTTCGGGGAGGGGGCGGACACTGGAAAAAGTATATAATTATATTTCGTTGAATGGGACGGTAGACATGTTTTTTTGGGGGGTGGGGGTGGGGGTGGGTGGGGGTGGGGGGTGGTGTGTGGGGTGGGGTGGGGGTGGGAGGGGGGTGGGGGTGGGGGGGTGGTGTGTGTGGGGGGGTGGGTTGGTTTTAGTTTAGAGAAAAGAGACAGCACTATCAACCTAGCGCCCGGTGTATCCTTCCTCAACGGGCCATTTTTCTCGTTTTATGAATATTTTTGAATATTTAAACAAAAGTTAATAATTGTTTAACATACAAAAATGTTAAAATTGTTAGATGAACTTTTATAAATTGAGACGGCTCCAGATTTTTCATTAAAAAGAACATTTAATAACATATCAAATACTTGTTAAATTACAATTAGTCCTATTACCTTAAGTAGAAGAACTAAAGAAATACCGAACACGGAACAATGAGTGGGGTCCAATAAAATAATCTTTCAGATTTAAATATTTGTGTGTTTTGTTCTTAAGTTTTAGTCTATTGGCTGACATGCTTTAGAAAATTTCATGTAAGGTTGAATTGTGATTATGTGGAATAATATGATAAATATGGTTCGCCTATACATTGTAACACTTTACCATCGTTTTTATCCAAATATATTCACCAATTAAAATAAAATCAACTACCCTACCCTATCTATGCAAATGTAGCATATGAATGTGCTAATCGTTATTACTTTTCAACTACCCTACTCTGGCTAAGTCAGTGTAGCATATGAAGAACTCATCGTCCTTAGTTTTTCACCTACCCTACCCATGTAAATGTAGCATATGAAGAACAATGTGCTAATCGTTATTAGTTTTCAACTAAAGTAAATGTAGCAAACAAAGAACAATGTGCTAATCGTTATTAGTTTTCAACTAAAGTAAATGTAGCAAACAAAGAACAATGTGCTAATCGTTATTAGTTTTCAACTAAAGTAAATGTAGCCAGAGTTTCTTCCAGGCATCTCTTCTACCGAACGAAATGAAATTTATATAGAAAATATATACTTTTAACAGTGTCCGCCCCCCCCCCCCCCCCCCCCGAAAAAAGTCTACCGCCCCCCCAAAAATTTCAAGTGCACCCCCCGGAGAAAAAAGTCTGGAAGAAACACTGAATGTAGCATATTAAGAACAATGTGCTAATCGTCATTAGTTTAACCAGGGGTTCCTGCTTCCGAGGCCGCGGTACAAGCAGATCTACCCGCACTCAACAGTCTGAAAGCGTGCTATGAGCAAGTCGGTCAAAACACAGGTGAGTGCAGGTTATAGTAATTTTATACCAGACTCAAAGCATCAACACTTAACTTCTATAATGTTTACAGTTGTAGTAAATTAAATTAAAGTTTCCTTTTCTGACTTAAAGATCCATAGGGTAGATGAAGTAGAGTTCACATGTTTTTTTGACTAGCCGCCTTTAGTTACTCTAACGTGACCCAGGTACCCATCAGAGCTGGTTAGACTCGGGGACGTCTTGTTTGAAATAAGTCCGGACCGAGATCAGAACTCGAGACTTTCGGGTTAGCAGTCGAGCGCTGTATACCGGACCACCCCCGTCCCAGTGATCAGAGGCGTAGCGACCCTTCCCGGCGCCCGGTGACATATGTACCCCCCCCTTCCGCCCACTCCCCCCTCCCTCGCTGCGCCTCTGCCAGTGATATTTGTTGACTGGTAGTTGTTTCTATGATGATCTGGCGTTAATATAGCACAATTAATAGAAGGGAAATAAAAGCCATTGATTGGTCCTTTAAGAAACGGCTTGACCTAGAGGCAGACCGCTAGATTACTAACCTGAAAGTCTCGACTGGTCATAGCACTGACCACATTATCTCTACAAAAATAATGAGCTCTACTTCATCTGCCCAACGGATCGCCAGGTCTAAAGAAGATTCTTTATTGGTGCTTTAGACTTTTAGATTTAAATCTTGAATCTCAAGATATAATTCGTAAAACCAAATATAACATTTAAACCGTAAATAGCATTGAAAATCATAGTAGTTTCTCAGTTACTTTAAAACAAATTACTAGCTACAAACACGTATCCTGCAAGCTTGAATTAGTTACGTGACAGCGTGGTTTGATGCTAGCGCACAAGACTGTTTGCCAGGGCTAGAGTCTGAGTCCACTCAGCTCTGATGGGTACCTGACGGGGAATTAAAATCGGCGGGGTATAGTGCTGACCACACTATCTTTTTATTGGCCGAGGTCACATAAACAAATGACTATATATATATATATATATATATATATATATATATATATATATATATATATATATATATATATATATATATATATAATATATAAAGCTCAGTTCTGTATGTAACGCATATGTTTGTCGTTGGTCTTGGATGGATTAAAGTGTTATAATATTATCGTGCGCATTTCTCTAAATTTATGAGTTAAAAAATTACTATTGAAAGTGTTGGGAAATAATTTTCATTTTTCAAATTATAGTAATAATTGTCGGCATGTTCATTCAACGCAAGTTTTAAAAAAATATCATCTTTTACAAAAATTCTAATTATGTCTTTATTTAGTCCTATAGCACTTACTTCCCTTTGATAAATTAGGAAAACACAATTACTTCCCTTTATAAAACCATTGCATTTTGTGGAAAAGAATTTACTTTTTAATTACTTTGTTTTGGTGTTGGGAAAAAAAAAATAATTACATAATTAGCGGGGATTGATCAAGTGCAAATGTTGTAGGTATTTTACGGATAAGCTTGGAGTATTATAATTGTACATCAAATTGAAACAGGCGCGTTCGTTTAAGTGAGTGCAAAAGACTATGAATAAGTTGGGGTACTATAGTCGTTCATTAAGCTAAAACAGGTGATTCCGCCCCGGGCGTTTATGTTCGCGTTAGTGTTTTCTTTGTGTTTAGGTGGGTTTGCGTTAGTGGTTGCGTTTTGATTTGGTTCGTTTTTGTTCTTTCTTTTTTCGTTTTTTTTGTGTTTGTTTGTTTGGGTTTGTATTTGTGTTTCGGTTGGTTTTGCGTTTGGATTTGGTTTGTTTTCGTTTGCGTTTTCGTTGTTCTTTTTTGTTGGTAGTGGTGTTTGTGGTTGGGTTTGTTGTTAGGTTTTTGTTTTCGTTTGCTTTTTTGTTTGTTTTTTCTTTTTTTGTTTGTATTGGTGTTTGTGGTTGTGGTTGGGTTTGTTGTTAGGTTTTTGTTTTCGTTTGTATTTGTAATTGTGTTAGCGTTATGTTTGCGTTTTGTTGTTTTGGTTTTGGTTGGTTGTGGTTTGGGTGGGCAATGCCGGGTTTATGATGATTACTAAACACACAGGTGATGGTCTTTAACAGAAAGGTTTTTCACAGAAGCCAGAGCAGGGCCTGGCCGGGACGGCTAGTATATATATATATATATATATATATATATATATATATATATATATATATATATATATATATATATATATATTATATATATATATATATATATATATATATGTATGTATATATGTATACATTAGCGTGCCCATACCGCGCGTTGCCGTGGTCTTAGAAGAAAAGTTTGACAAAATATTTTAAGAGGTTTTCATAAATCCTATATTCTTCGACGCGTGACCTTGTTTTCTAAAACTGAGTTATTTAAATGTAAACAAAGCAGTAATGTACGCGAATCTCTCACTATATATATACGAGAAAAATGGCCCGTTGAGGAAGGATACAACGGGCGCTAGGCTGATAGTGCTGTCTCTTTTCTCTAAACTAAAACCCTCCCACCCCCCCCCCCCCTCCACACACACGCACCACCCCCCCCCCCCCCCCCCAAAAAAAAAAAACATGTCTACCGTCCCATTCAACGAAATATAATTATATACTTTTTCCAGTGTCCGCCCCCTCCCAGAAAATTCTACCCCCCGCCCCCGAAAATTTCAAGTACCCCCACCCCTCTCCGGGGAGGAAAAAGTCTGAAAGAAACACTGGTGTCGAGCTTAGCCACTACCCGAAGAATTGCATTAAAGAAATTGCAAGAAAACCACTTTTTAGATTAGACACATTAATTAGGCGGTAATTTTATTATAGAGTATCGATGAAGAAATTTCTTTTGAGTTAGGGAGGAGGGGGGTGGCTCAGACGTTCTTACGCGGGGGTGGGGCTTCGCCCCTACCCGAAGAATTGTATGAAAGAAACTCTTCACGCAAACCACTTAGATTATACAAAATTGCCTTTGTATTCAATGTTTACTCGAGAATCAATGACGTCATATTACTGTGTGCACTCCCCGGCTTGATATTATTTTCTACTATATGACGTCATACCTCGTCTTTCGTTTCACTGTGAGAGTTTTTAAATTGCTTGTGTTTTCTCTATAGCGTTCTTGTCAGATAGAATTTTTGCTTGTGTTTTCTCTAGAGCGTTCTTGTCAGACAGATAGATAGATACACAGACAGCGAAACTATTAGTATTAATATATATATATATATATATATATATATATATATATATATATATATATATATATATATATATTTACATGATATATATATATATATATATACAGGTATCCCAGCAGCAGTGATTGCTGCTATTGCTAGCCGAGAAACTCGAGGAGGTGCAACTATAGCAAGTAAGAGCGGCTGGAGTAGCGACAACAGATATTATGGTATCCTTCAGGTAACTAAAGCTCCAATTTCGGGGACGGTGTGGTCTAGCGGTAGTAAACGTGCTTGCTAACCATTGGGGAGCAAACAAAAATACAAACAAAAAAATAATCCACGTTTGGCGGTTATTTTGTTAGTGATATGCTTTTTACGACATATTTTGTATTGAGATTTATTTTTAAATAAGCCTAGCTGGCTTAGTTTCCATACATCCCCCCCCCGGTGGGTTCTTGTAACTACTTTGGGATGGGAGAGGGTGGGGGGCTGATTCTGGATATAAGTAATATTTTTTATATCTGTTGTATATTTTTTCTCTCTCTCGGCCGTAAAGCTTTGAGATCCAAGCCTATCTTATGCCCTGGTCTTTAGAGAACCTCCGACTTCTTTAATGTATAAATATATTGAAATACAATTTGATATTAGAATTAATAAATTATGGAGTTCAAGTTTAGACACTTCATGTAAACTAACAGAGATTAAATAAAAAAAATATTTAGAAATTAATTTTTGTTTTCTTTTGGTAAATTGTATTCTGTTTGAATGCCACTCAATTCTTTTAGGCTTGGTTTTGGACTCTTTCTCTGTTTAGTTTTTATAGTTTTTAATCTCGTACTCTGTTTTCTAGTGTAACATCCGGATACATTGTGAAGTTTTTAATCTCGTACTCTGTTTTCTAGTGTAACATCCGGATACATTGTGAAGTTTTAAATCTCGTACTCTGTTTTCTAGTGTAACATCCGGATACATTGTGAAGTTTTTAATCTCGTACTCTGTTTTCTAGTGTAACATCCGGATACATTGTGACCTTGAATCCACTTCCGTTCCCTGGAACAGCTGTGATCACATTCAGATGATCATCAGTAAAGTCCTCCTGCCCTACATAGCCAAGGTTAGCAGTTTTTTATAAGCTTTAATTTAATTCATGTCTTTTTTTGTGTATGTTTGTGGCAAGTCCTTAAAGTCAGCTCCAAGGTCAGTAAATTTATTTTACACTTTTATTTAGTTCATAATGTCTTCTGTTTTGTTTGTTTGTATGTTTGTGGCAAGTCCTTAAACTCAATTTTGAACCTTATTTCTAACGAAACGATTTCTTTTACGCTTTATAGATGTATTCGTCTCCAACGAATGCAAGAATTTCTAATTTTTAATCTAATTAGTTATTTAATTAGTCATTAAGATTTAATTAAACGACTACAATATTCGATTTGACCACCCCAAGATTTAAATTATGTTTGTTCATTTTAATTAGCTCTTGTATTGTAATGTGTTGTTTGTACCACCCCAAGATTGAAATTATGTATGATGCTGCACATTATTTTAATTAAAAGACTTGTCTTATCTAGGTGAAAGCCACACATCCTAACTGGACTCCAGAAAAAATTCTTCAAGGTCAGTTGTAGTGCTTAGCTTATCGGTTACAACGACACTTAGATTATTTTACCTCTTTGTATAGATAGATCACATAATCCTTAGATTACTCTATCATTTTGTATAGGTAGGTCACATAATACTTAGATTTTTCTATCATTTTATATAGATTAGTCACAAAATACTTAGAGTATTCTACCATAAGGTATAGGGCTGGTAAGTAGGTCAATAAACAGCTATATGGCTCATGCAGGTTTTATTGAGCCGTAGAACTGTTTGGTGACCTACTTACCAGCCCTATAGATAGGCGACATTGATTCTAAGAATATTCTACCACCTCGTACAGATAGTTCACAAAATACTTAGATTATTATAGCTTCATCACCAAAAAAAAAAAACAAATAAAATACTTAAAAAAAACTTTTTAAAAAACCACGTTTTTCTTGTGGACTAAAAAGTAGAAAATAACTATTTACATACATTTGATGACAAAAAACGTGGGTACGTTCACCATCAAATTTCCCGACCCATCTGCCCGACCCACGTTTTTTGTCATCAAATGTATGTAAATAGTTATTTTCTACTTTTTAGTCCACAAGAAAAACGTGGTTTTTTAAAAAGTTTTTTTTAAGTATTTTATTTTCTCCTTTTTAGTCCGTTGCTACACATGAAAAACGTGGTTTTTAAAAAAGTTTTTTATATAGTTTATTTTCTACTTTATCTAATGACTTGATTAAGTATGAATTGACTAAGTGTTTATAAATACACGGACTAAAAAAATCTTGAGCGACCAGGATTCGAACCTGGGTTGTCGCGGCCACAACGCGAAGTACTAACCACTATACGATCACGGCCAGCGCGCTCACATCGATTGGGGCCGAAGTAACTGTGTCAACAAACCTCCAGTCTTGTCGGTATCTTTAGAAATCATGTCCTCAATTTTATGGTCCTTTGGGCGTAATTAAATTAAGCTAATTACGGTCTCTAATTGCTAGTTTTTATGATTGCATCTGAAATTGTTAGGCGAAAGTAACCTGCATGCCAAATTTCAGATCTATAGAGCAATCAGAAGTGGGCTAATTTTCGATGTCAATTTTAACAACAAACACATCCACGCGAAGCTGAGTTAATAAAAACGTGTTAAAAACAACAATCAAGCAAACAAAAAAAAAGTACAATAATGGGACAATAGTATATTATATATTCAGAGGTGTTAGGGGGTGGTTTATGAAATACGAGCCGACCCGCAGCGTATCATACGCCGCTATTTAGTTGTTTTATTTTCTACTTTTCAGTAATTCATAATTTGTGAATTCGACAGTACCACGCTCACCAGATCATGTGGGGGTGGGGTGGGGGTGGTAGTGATAGTGATATAGAGAAAGAGAGGGGACTGCAAGGAGGCGCTTGCAGCTTGTTTTCTAACTGATCCCAGAAGAGAATTATATATACGAGCCGACCCGCAGCATATCATACGCCGCTATTTAGTTCATTTTTTTTTCTACTTTTCAGTAATTCATAATTTGTGAATTCGACAGTACCAATGCTGCCACTGAAAATATGTGCTTTAAAACACCAACCCCCCCCTAATAGCCGTCACTAAACCCGTCTCTATGATTGTAAAATGTAAACATTTAGAGTGAACTACAACTCACCAGTCCATGTAGGGGTGGTGGTGAGGGGTGGGGGGTAGCAATAGAGAGGAAGAGAGGGGACTGCAAAGGCGCGCTTGCAGCCAATTTTCTAACGGCTCCCAGAAGAGAATTATATATATATATATATATATATATATATATATATATATATATATATATATATATATATATATATATATATATATATATATATATATATATATATATAGATAGATAGATAGATAGATAGATAGATAGATAGATAGATAATACGTTCATAGTCAAAGTAATTTTTGATCTTATTAAATTTTCTTTTTTCTTTTCCTGTTTTTAAAAGTTTATTTACAGTTTTAGTTTAAAATAAATATCAGATGCGAAATTAAGCGGTATTTAATCCTTCAAGATATTAAAAGCATTTTTTTCTAGTTACACGTTATATACGCATCCTTCACCGCAATAGTCGTTAAAGTGTTTTGGTTGAGGTTTTAATTATGTTGGATTTGGGGTTTAAGAAGCGAATTAGTTAATTCTGTTTGACAATTTATGTATGATTTAGGTTTAGTTTATCGTAATGTTTTTAGAAACCACGATATAAGACTGCGGCTACATCTATCGCACACAAACACACACACACATACACACATAAACACACACGCATACACACATACATACACACACGCATATATATATATATATATATATATATATATATATATATATATATATATATATATGTGTGTGTGTGTATATAGTTAGAAGACTGAGTCGTAATTTCATTTTAAGAGGAGGGATGGGGGTGGGGGGATAGGATTTTGGTAATAATAGAGAGAGGGAATAAAAATTGTTTAAAAAGCGTGTAACGTCTTCTTCGTATTTTCGTTACTTAATTAGTGTAGGGTAGAGCCCATTTTAAGAAGTTTTCTTTTAATTGGACACACGTATCAGGTGGGGTCGCTGCCTACAACTTTGGCGTTAGTAATGTCCACACCTGGACGGGGATTGATGTGGGCACCACTGGAGGTGACTACAGCAATGACGTCATGGCCAGAGCTCAGTGGCTTAAAAGAAACGGCTGGTGATTTAGATTATGGGTTGGTGTTTAAGATTAACGGCTGGTGATTAAAATTAAGGCTCGTGATTAAGATTAATGGCTCGTGATTAAGATTAATGGCTCGTGATTAAGATTAACTGCTGGTGATTAAGATTAACGACTGGTGATTAATTTTGATAGTTGGTGATTGATTTCATTGGTAATTATTTTTAATGGCCAGTAATTAACTTTAAAAGCTTCCGTCAAGAAAGGAAACAAATAAAGATAAATTACAAAACATTAAACTTGTTATATTTATGTTTCTAATATACAAAGCAAATGTAACTCGTTGTTAGTATTGTACGCTAGCATAAAATAAATCCCAAAATATATTTGAATAGGATGAAACCGTGTTTCTGCGTAGTCTCTATGGCGTCGAAGGGAATTCCCCTGAACCACTTTTGTAAAGAATTTAAAAATTAAGGAATAATTATAATGTACAATCACTCTTTAATCCTGACGGTCCATGGGACAGGAGAAGTAGAGTTCACCTGTTTAAGTGACCTCGGCACATGAAGGGATGGTGTGGATAGCACTATGCCCAGCAGCCTTTATTTTTCCCTTACGTGAGCCAGGTACCCATCAGAGCTGAGTGTACTCACCCATTCTACTGACACACACACACACACACACGCAACCACAAACACATAAACACACGCATGCATGCATACACATACACACACACACACGCACGGACTCACACATAGTGAACCCATATGACACACACACGTACGCACACACAGAGTTTCTTCCAGGCATCTCTACCGCCCCCCCCCCAACGAAATGGAATTTATATAGAAAATATATACTTTTAACAGTCTCCGCCCCCCCCCCCTTAAATCTTAGTCGCGCCCACCTCTCCCTCGAAAATTTCAAGTGGTGACCCCCCGGAGGAAAAAGTCTGGAAGAAACACTGCACACACACTGCCCTTCTCCGTCTCAGTGAAGGTCAATACACACACCTAACTCACGTGATCGGATTTTGTAAGTGCGGACGACAGAACTATTAAGAAGGGTTCAGTGAATGAACTACTGACTTACACTAGTTCATATATCTCTATATATCCTTTGACATGCAAAACGTGTCAAAACAAGAAGATATAATTTTTATTTCAAGAGATATTTCTTTTATGTTGATCAAATTCCAATATGAAAACGTTCTACTAATGAAGACTTTAATCAGCTATAGTTTAATCTTTTAAAAAAAGTAAGCTAATAAGATTAATAAGATAGTACTTGGGAAAGTAAAGAATAGATTTACATTTTTAGCTAGGTTAGAGAAAATTAAAGTTTTTAACCATGAGAGAGTATTGAAAAATGTTCAATTGAAAACTTCAAGTTGTTAGTAGAAATTGAAAGTCTTGCAAGAATCCAGGCAACGACTTTAGCATGTCTTTCTTTAGTTCTGTAAATGTAGAAATATGAAAACATCATTGAAAACAAATAATTACATTTTCTCGTTCACCCACGACAGTTAAATTTTGTATTAAATACGAATCCTTCGATCAAAAAGAGCGAATTATAATAATTTATATTGCAGTTTCAAATGAAATCATAAGTGCCTTCAATAGTATATTAAGTAGTTTAGATTTAGACTCACAGACAAAAACTTAGTAAACAGTTTGTTACCGACTCATGGAAACTGTCTATTACGATAAGCATTTTACTAATAAAACATTTTTTTAGGAAACTTCAGTGTTAGTTAATTTCTATTACATTTCAATAAAACAATCCAAAACAAAGTATACAAAAACAATATGTAATATGTTAAGCCCAACAGCGATAGTTACTGTTATTTTTTTTTCAATACCATTCAAATGTTACCATTCTTTGAAGTTATGATTCATTATTTGAATTTATCTTACTTTTATGAAACCCGGGCGCCTTTGCCTTTTCTTGCATTTCCTTCCTAAAAGCAAAAGATAGAAGTATTTATTAACGTATACGAAGATCGATTATTTATGAGTCTACTTAAAAAGTTTGATTAATTGCTAGTTGTGGTTAGAAAAAACAATTACTTGGCAATTATAGTGGTGGTCGTTGGCGTCTGTTCTGTAATTAAAAGATTAGTTCGTTTAATTGTGTTTTGTTACGTAAACTTTCAACACACCTAAATCATTAGAAGATGAGTTAATTTAATTGTATTCTGTTATTGTAAAGCTTTACATATACCTAAGTAATTAAAAGATTAGTTCGTTTAATTGTGTTTTGTTACGTAAACTTTCAACACATCTAAATCATTAAATGATGAGTAAATTATATTGTATTCTGCTATAAGTGTAAAGCTTTACATATACCAAAGTCATTAAAAGATGCATTAGTTTAATTGTATTCTGTTACTGTAAACGTTAGAAACACCTAAATCAGGTGCAGAGGCGTAGCGACCCTTCCCGGCGCCCGGGGACAAACTTTTCGACTTGCACCCCCCTCGAGATTTCCATTTGCACCCCCCAAACTTTCGATTTGCACCCCCCCTCAACCTTTCAATTTATTTTTCCAACCCATTTTGGCGCCCCCTAAGGTCTGCGCCCGGGGACATATGTCCTCCCCCACCCGCCCCCCCCCCTCGCTACGCTACTGATCAGGTGTAAACTGTAAAATTGTTTATCGTTAAATGTAAATAACTTAATCATTTAAAAAAAAATTATAGTGTTAAAAATGATTCCATTAATATTAAGCAAAACAGAAGAATAGTTTCAAAGATTTTTTTTTTCTTAAGTCTGATAAAACAAACTTAAAAAAAAAATAAAACAATATTTTGCGTACAATTGTGTTCGCCCTGTTAGTTTTTTTCTAAACGAAATCAAGGAAAGACGTCTTCTTATAACCTTTAACTGCTAACTATCATATTGTTTACACCTGAATTTAATAAAAATATGTGTGTATCTGTGTTTTTGTTAGCTCTTAAAGAGTTCACTAAGTTCACCGGATATGCATTTCTTTAAACTAAATGGTAAAAGTATATGTTTTTCGATTTCGTTCAAGGGTGGGTGGTAGACTTTCATCAGGGGTTGGTGAATGAAAGTCTTCCACCCCACCCTCAAGAGATGCCTGGAAGAAACTCTGTACACAATAGAAAAGAGCCTACGCTTTGGACAGCGAATGACTGCATAGAGTACATCGCTGTTAATAGTGGTGTTCAGCGGATTTCCTGTCAAAATACTATGTGCGCATGCGCCAGATGTGAAATCATAGCCTATACATCTTGGGTTATCAAGGCAGAAATGGAGACAATCCTAGTGAATATAATATAATATAATTATATATATATATATATATATATATATATATATATATATATATATATATATATATATATATATATACAATGCGTAGGCAAGGGGGGTAGGGGGGTTATAACCCCTCTCATGGACTATATATATATAGGGGCGTGAGTCCATATATATATATATATATATATATATATATATATATATATATATATATATATATATATATATATATATATATATATATATATATGATTTTATACATATGGAAAAATATTTAAACCCCTCCCATGACCGATTCCAGGCTATGCCACTGTATATATATATATATATATATATATATATATAAATATATATATATATATATATATATATATATATATATAAACTTAAAATAAGCCTAAAAACACGAAGTGGTGGTCCACATCACAACGATACAAGCGACATCACTTGACACAAGGCTATTATTTTCTACGAGCCGGCCCGCGGCATAACATACGCCGCTATTTAGTTGTTTCTAATTTTCGATAATTCATAATTTGTGAATTCGGCAGTACCAACGCTGACACTGAAAATATTTCTTTAAAACACTATAAGTAGCTCGTTAAGGACCATAACCCCCCCCCCCCTTCCTTCCCCCCTCCCCCCCCTACCTTTAAAATCGTTGGCTCTGCTTGTAAACAATTAGAGTGAACACAGTTCACTAAAACCATTTAGGGGTGGGGAGGTAGGGAGAGCGTTTGCAGCTTGTTTTCTAACGGCTCGAAGAAGAGAATTATATATATAGATATTGCTATGTATTCAACTACTGTATTGATACTAAATTCACATCCTTGCTTTCAACATCACACAAATTACCTCTCACAGTCTATCCATAGCGTTCATACCATAGTAACACCGTTTTCTACATTCCGCGTCACTATTTGTTTATGCGCTTCACATGTTTCTTCATTCATAATACACCCGCACCAACATTTATTTGCACCAGTTTATATTCTAGAAAATGCATCATAACAGGCAGGTGATGCGAATTTAAAATCTCTTCATATGCCGAGGTCACAGAAACAAGTGAACTCTACTTCACTTGCCCCATAGACCGTCAAGTTTGAAAAGGGAACTTTTTTTTAAATACATGGCTGTAGCAAAGCCTAGCCGGTACCGACTAGTAATGTACAAAAACTTTTTTCAAAGAAAAGGGACCTTACACTATTTAGCTAACCTGCCCCCCCCCCCCCCCCCCAAAAAAAATAGTCCAATAAAACAACCTATATTGACTTAAGACTTACCAGATGAGTGGTATAGGTTTGGCTTACAGCTGTGTACTCATAGTAATCATAAGCTTCACAGTGTACTAAGTAAAGATAAGACACACTTTAAGTAAATAATTTAAAAAAAACCTGCGTCTCACATACACGATAACGTTAATAAACAATCAGGCATGTTTAGATTTAGGTAAATCGACAATTTTATTTGAAGTTCCACCAGTTTCACCTCGGCATTAGATAGTGTGGTCAGCAATATCCCCCCCCCCCTCCATCGATTTTACTTTACCTTAGTCAGGTACAGATCGGAGCTAGCTGGACACAGGGCCAGTCATGAGCCTGGGTATCGACATTGAGACTTACGGGTAGGCTGGCGTATTCTATAATATTAAACCATGCTGTCCCATTATTAAAATTGTTTTAAAACGGTTTATAACCCGATTTAAAATTTAATATCATTAGTCAGTATATTACAACTACATGGATCACTTGAGTGGTATTTACCATGGATCAATTGAGTGGTATTAACCATGGATCACTTGAGTTATATTTACCATGGATTAATTGAGTAGTATTTACCAGTGGCGTAGCGAGGTGGGGGAGGGGGGGGGGGCGGGGGGGGGGGGGGGGGGGTGCGGACCGCACCGGGTGATACCATTTAGGGGGGTGACACCAAGGCGAAAAATTGCAAAATAAATAGAGAAAAATGATAATTCCACTTAATTATGTGATTAATTCG